CTGACATTCACATGTATTTCCTATCTTAAACTATGTTAGGAACATGGCATCTACTTTGAGAACCAAAACAAAAGAGGGGTAATAAAGGGGTATTACTGAGTAATAAAGCAGTAGGTTTCAGTCATGTCATGTTCTAAGACTTTGTTTTAGCACACCAGGTTAGGATTTCCCATTAGATTGCTGGATTTAAGCAAACACGCAGCTTCTTTATTGAAGGCCTCACTCATTTAAAATATTTTTTGAGTATTTGTGGAAAACCACAACCATAGCTTGTGTGCTGTGTATTTGTTGGGGTTTTCCATTACTCCTCAATAAGATATTATCTAAAAAAATTTTCTGGAACAACAAAATTACATGTAAATCTAATGCATCCCCATTATAGTTTTACTTGGCAAGTAAGTCATTCGCAATTTGAAATGATCACTATCTCTCAAGTAGCACTGCATTTTGTTTTCTTTCCTTGTCTATTTTTCTTCTCTTGAGTACAGCATCATTTTCATTCTTCATAGGATACAGATGGGAGATTTATGAGATCAAGATTCTATTTTTAAATTTGCTCTTCTAGCAAATTTCTTTTCAACATATGATAAAGAACATAAAATACATAAGTATGCTTAGAACACCTACATGACACCTTCTGTTGGTGCCCATTTGAATGACAAAAATTTGTTGAAAACATACTGTATGTGATATTTAATTCTGTCAAAAATATATTCATTTATTATGAGCCCTTTTGCTTGAACCTTATGAACAAATAGTATTCACAAAATAAACAACTGTTAACAAAGTTTCCATTGAATTTTTTTTTTCATAAAACTCAAAATTTGTCAGCAGGAAATGCACAGAGTTGTATGAATCATCTGATCCACAATGATTCCATCCATGAAAAAATAAATACAATGTAGAAATAAATAGCTTTGTAGTAAAATATAAAGGTTTTTGCCCTTTGTGGAATAAATAAATAGCATGACTTCAGTTGGTTCATAGTCTCCCGTGATCTAGTAAATGACTTTTTTGGCAGCCAGAAGGGTGTTCTTCAGGAGCATTGCCACCGTCATGGGCCCCACACCTCCGGGAACGGGAGTGATAAAACCAGCCTTCTTCTTAACAGCTGAGGGAGGGAACACAATAGACTTCATTTTAAATTTTTCCGATAATATCAGATTAAAAAAAAAAGATTTATTTATTTATCCATACAGAACTGGGGTACAGGCAAGAGGTGCAGGAGAATGAGAGGCTTTACCAGAGACAGAGTGGGGAGCAGAACAGGCAGATCCACGAAGTACACTGCTGAGGGGAGCAGCTGGCGGGTCAGGAGAGGTCTGC